CTGTAGAAGAGTTACAGTTGAAAGATTTTTGTAAGTTTAGAAAAAAATCATTTAACTTTAAGAAACAAGGGGAAGGTGGATGTCGCATGACAGCATCCACACATCTGCCACAGCAGGAGGGTCTATAAGCTGACCATCCTAAACTCGTCATCGTAACTATGTAATAGAATAGGCCAAGCATAGTTAGATAGTTCGTTTGTTGTGGGGGAGTCCTGATAGGAAAAATCCATATAAAACCCTTTGATAATGACTCTTTTAGGCTTTGAGTGTCGAATTACATGTTAGGACGCCTTTTCTACGCCTATTCTAAATAAATTGTCTGACCACTGCACTGCATTGGTGAGCGGGATTCGTACGCTAACTGCTGTAGTTAGGAGACGTGTTTGTGTGCGTCACTCTCTACAGTCCGGTCTTGGAGGCAGGCGTTTTTCCTTGTGTCTCGCCAATTGACCGTTATACAGACAAGATTCCTTGTTCTCTTTTTTATTTACAAGGGGTGAGTTTTCTTAAGGACTTTTTAATTGAATAATTGAGTTCATAGTGTCTGTGATGTAGGTAAGTAAGGTAAGCAGCTGGATAATGCGAATCTGTTTTCCTACGATTCTTGCCAAGGAAGGTGGCGAAAGGAGCTCCAGATCGGAATGCACTTTCGGTTGACATTTCTCGCAGAATGCTTTGAAATGGTCTTTTAAACCTTTTCAATTCAATCAATCTACATATCTGGAGTGGGTTTGTAGTATTGATAACTTTGTATCGTTAATTATTTGCTGGTATTCGGTATCAGAACTTGGTAAGTCTCTGAATTGTTTTGAACGACAAAAAGCTTATAGGCAGACATGACGTCATGTCCGCTGTTGCTAGGTGATTTCGTAACCACAACAAGCTTCGACTGTCGTATTGTTTTCATGACATATTTCAGTAGGTCTTGGTTTGGACTTCCGCAGATCCCTTATTTTCTACGTTAGAGGGAACGGTAAATAATGGAGATCTGTCTAACCTTTGCTACAGAACTGTATCCAGGAATTCTTCGAGTTTATGATCTGGTGCTCACTCTAGGAAACTAAATGGATTCTAAGATAGAGGTGACCAACCTTCATGGTTGGGAATAACCTCAAGTTTATCTGAGCATGAGGAGATGGTAAGGATGTTGATTGACCAGGTGCATTAGATACGGTTCGATCATGGGTGTTGCTTTGTGTTTTTTCAGGTTATGAAGATCCAACAAGTGTCAGTGTCTTGTAGACTGGTTCCTTCTGCCACTACACATTAAGCAATTTACATGTGGTGAATTGTGGTCCTGAACGTGTGGACGATACTTGAGTCGTCGTCTTCCGAGCTCAAGGTGATTGTTCTCGATCAACGCCAGAAAACTGTTCCTGCTGGTGAAATAATGTTGGGAAGTCTGGCGACGTGAAGATCTATTCCGGCATCCAGAGAAGCAGCCTCGTTTCTGAGAAGTCCTATCGTAAAGTACGGTGGTCGGAAACTTCGCTCCAGCATCCAGAGGAGATATAAGATCCAAACAGATAAGTCAGAGTGACCCGTATGACGGATTAAATCTAAAGGGACCTTTCCAATCCATCAGATTCCTCAGACATGATGATACTGGACAGAAACGTAGAGTAGGAGGAAGATACTCGCACTAACTTTGTCCTTGAAAGTATTCAATATTCTTTCAGTTAATTCTTCAAGTTATTTTTCTTCAGCTTGGTTACGGGGAACCTATTACATAGATTCTCGAGTTCATCTGCCTTCTAGTTCTTAGGAGAGTTTTGTCTAATTGGAGTTCCTTGTGGCATTTATAAACGTAGTCTTGTCTTATCGTATTCACTGTTGATTATTTGTTCGACTGGATTTACATTAATCCAGTCTGGGGGCAAACAGTGGTGAGGACGTCTGGCCGAGAGGTACCCAAGTGTTCATAATAACCCTGTGGAGTCAGAGCTCGTGTCACCTCATCCCTGAGACAGGTTGAATGGAAAGTTTGAACCGAGGGTTAGGCCTCTAGACGAACGAGAGCCACCATTCAAAACACTCCTGTCTCAGAGCACCTGAGGGATTTGTGAAAAATATCCTGTAAGTAAGGTGCGCGACAAAACTGCCATACGACAGTCACTATCGTAAAATGTGGTCTCATGTCCGGGATCGTTGTTTATTGTAATTGTAATTTGTCAACAGTGAATTAGAGTGTTCAGTAGTTGTGCTGGACACTTGACCAGCTGGTTGTCATATTGATAAGCTGTCTGGTAGAATTGGTGACTACTTTGAATATATTCCTTGTAATCTTCCTGGGAAGAAATAAGAGGTTGTTTCAGTAGTCTTTGACAAGCGGTTCTTCCTGTTTTCACATTGTAGGATTCTATTGGTCCTAGTGATAGGAAGATTGTCTTTCTGAAGTAGTGACATTTGTTCTTCTGATTTGTGTATAGTGGTTTTGGTTGCATCACCACTGACGTTTTGTGTCTAACATTTACTATTATCGTAAATTTGTGCATATTTGTTGGATCTTCTTTTAACTATCTTTACAGCTCAACATGGCGCAGTCCAGAATTTCGATTCCAGAGCTGAAAGAAATGGCTGTACAGATGGGACTGGAAGGAAGGGAGTTGACCGATTGGATTAAGACCACAGAAAGAGAAATGAGAATGGAGGCTCGTGAGTCCGAGAGGCTCAGGATCGAATCCGAGAGACTCCAGGAAACTGAGAGACTCAGGATTGAATCCGAGAGACTCATGGAAACCGAAAGACTCAGAATTCAGGCCGAGATAAAGATGAAGGAGCTGGAAATTCAGGCACAAAGAGATAGCCAGATTTCTAGATCTCAGTCTTCAGAAATGGAGACTGTGTCTACTCACTGCATCTCGACACCTGCCATGAATTTTCCTATGCCTGCCTTTGATGCGAAGCTGGAAACGATTGAGCAGTATATCGATAAATTTGTTAAACTTGCAACTATCTATAATCTTGAGAAAGATAGATATACATTAAAACTGGCACAGGGATTGAGAGGAGAGGCATATGAAATTTTTCAGCGGATGCCCACTGGCTCCGATACTGACTTTGAAGCCCTGTGCCAGGCTTTATTGAAAAGGTTCGAGTTGAACGCTGCTAGTTACAGGCATAAGTTTAGAAATGAAAGGAAAATGATTGGGGAAACTTATCCGCAGTTTGCAGATAGATTAAAAAGTTATATGAGTAAGTGGCGTGAAATGGCTGGCTATGAAGCTTCCTTCGAAGATCTGCAAGAATTGTTCCTAACCGAACAATTAAAGGACACTCTACCGAAGTCAATGCAAACTTTTCTCACCGAGAACGGTGCAGAAAAATTGACTGACATTTTGGTTCATGCCGAACGGTACGAGTTAGCCCATAAAGATGATAGTTCGGGGAAAGCCAAGCCACATAATAATCATGATAGGAATAGTCTGAAAGGTCAGAAAACTCCAACTCCAGGTTCCCCTAAAAAGAGCCCATCCCATGTAAAACACCAGAATCCTTCTAAATTTGGCAGTTCGCAACAGAAACAGTTGTACAATAGTTCTAGAAAACCCTACTGTAGGAATTGCAATAATAATTCCCACCACACTAATGATTGTAAGGTGAAGTCAGCAGGGGGGACTCAATTGTCAGCTATGTTGACGACTGTCGGTTCGTCTGCCGCAGAGAAATTATATAACCGTTCCAATAGGCCACCTGTGGTAGAGAAGGTCTGGGCTAACAAAAAGAGAATTTCTTGTCTTTATGATTCGGGGTTGTCCTATTCCGCGGTCTGTTCCCCCGAAATCGTTAGAGCTGATCAGTATACAGGTGAATTTATAGAGCTCAGATGTGCAACTCTTGATGCTCAACCCATGAACTTGCCCGTAGCTAAGATAGAGGTCAAGTCTAGATACGTTACTGGAGAGATTGAGGCGGCCGTTTTGAAACGGAGTACGTTCCCTCTTATTTTAGGAGCTCGTTATGTCTATTTAGCGAATGCCCCTACACCTTCAGAACAGCTTGCGGCGATGACCACCCGTGCGCAACATAAATGTGCCACGGAAGATCAAAGTCACGTAAATCCCTTACCTGACGAGATCAAGGTAGCCCAAGAGTCTGACCCTACCCTTAGAGCTTGTTTCAAAAAATTACCTGTCTGTCACACTCCGCCGAGAAGAAATGATTACTTTATGAAAGGTAAATTGCTTTTTCGCGTTGGGAGTGACCAATATACTGAGCATAGTCAGCTGGTCGTGCCACGACCATATCGGCAACGAATTCTCCAAATGGGTCACACGATCGCGTATAGTGCCCATATGGGAATAAATGCCACGACTCAACGTATTTCCTGTCATTACTTTTGGCCGGGTATGACAACGGACATATTACGTTTTGTCAAATCTTGTCCGGAGTGCCAAAGAGTCGCCCCGAAAGGCAAGATTGCACCAGTTCGACTGGGAGAAACTCCCATAATGTCCACTCCCTTCGAGAGAGTGGCTGTCGACTTGGTGGGACCCCTTCCCCTCACGAAAAAGAAGAATGCCTATATCTTAACCCTGGTAGATAGTTGCAGTGCCTGGGGTGAGGCTGTACCGCTTCGTAAGATAGATAGTCAGAGTGTGGCTGAAGCTCTGATTGGCATCTTTACTCGTGTAGGATTTCCCACACAAATCTTGACTGACAACGGATCGCAGTTCAAGGGGAAATTGATGGAGGAGGTGTTTCAAATTCTTAAATCTCATCATATATGCACTAGTCCATATCGACCCCAAGCGAATGGCCAAAATGAGCGATTCAACGGGACGTTGATTTCACTGCTGAGGAGGTTATCCCAAGAGAAACCGGAGAAGTGGGACGAATACGTGGCTGCAGCACTATTCGCTTATCGCGAAGTCCCTAATGCTTCCACCGGCTTTTCACCAGCAACGTTGGTTTTTTGGGAAGCCCATTTCTGGTCCTTTGGCCATACTCAGAAAAACGTGGACGGACGAAAATGCAGATGAGACCTTGAGGACCACGTC